CCCAGGATGTTGACCCATTTTCCCTCACCTTGACCTGATGAACTCCCCTTCATCCAGTGGCCACCCCATCCTCGGGGATGGGGAGGAGGTGGGGAGGGGACGGGAGGGGGCTGGGGAGAGGATGGGGAGGGGATGGGGAGGGGACGGGAGGGGGACGGGGAGAGGAGAGGAGGTGGGATGGATGAGGATACGACAGGACGAGGATGACAGCCCTGCTTCCCCCCCTTCCACTGCCCTGCACCTCCCCCCATCCAGAGTCCTGCTTCCCCCCTTCCACTGCCCTGCTTCCCCCCCTTCCACTGCCCTGCTTCCCCCCCTTCCACTGCCCTGCTTCCCCCCTTCCACTGCCCTGCCTCCCCCCCTTCCACTGCCCTGCTTTTCCCCCGTCCACTGCCCTGCTTCCCCCCCTTCCACTGCCCTGTTTCCCCCCCTTCCACTGCCCGGCTTCCCCCCCTTCCACTGCCCTGCTTCTCCCCCTTCCACTGCCCTGCTTCCCCCCTTCCACAGCCCTGCTTCCCCCCTTCCACAGCCCTGCTTTCCCCCCTTCCACTGCCCTGCTTCCCCCCCTTTTCATTGCCCGGCTTCCCCCCCTTCCACTGCCCTGTTTCCCCCCCTTCCACTGCCCTGTTTCCCCCCCTTCCACAGCCCTGATTCCCCCCTTCCACTGCCCTGCATCCTCCCCTTCCACTGCCCTGCTTCCCCCCTTCCACTGCCTTGCTTCCCCCCCTTCCACTGCCCTGCTTCCCCCCCTTCCACTGCCCTGCTTCTCCCCTTCCACTGCCCTGCTTCCCCCCCTTCCACTGCCCTGCTTTTCCCCCGTCCACTGCCCTGCTTCCCCCCCTTCCACAGCCCTGCTTCCCCCCCTTCCACAGCCCTGCTTTCCCCCCTTCCACTGCCCTGCTTCCCCCCCTTTTCATTGCCCGGCTTCCCCCCCTTCCACTGCCCTGTTTCCCCCCCTTCCACTGCCCTGTTTCCCCCCCTTCCACAGCCCTGATTCCCCCCCTTCCACTGCCCTGCATCCTCCCCTTCCACTGCCCTGCTTCCCCCCCTTCCACTGCCTTGCTTCCCCCCCTTCCACTGCCCTGCTTCCCCCCCTTCCACTGCCCTGCTTCTCCCCCTTCCACTGCCCTGCTTCCCCCCCTTCCACTGCCCTGCTTCCCCCCTTCCACTGCCCTGCTTCCCCCCCTTCCACAGCCCTGCTTCCCCCACTTCCACTGCCCTGCTTCTCCCCCTTCCACTGCCCTGCTTCCCCCCTTCCACTGCCCTGCCTCCCCCCTTCCACTGCCCTGCTTCCCCCCCTTCCACTGCCCTGCTTCCCCCCTTTCATTGCCCTGCTTCCCCCCCTTCCACTGCCCTGCTTCCCCCCTTCCACTGCCCTGCTTCCCCCCCTTTCATTGCCCTGCTTCCCCCCCTTCCAATGCCCTGCTTCTCCCCCTCCCACTGCCCTGCTTCTCCCCCTTCCACTGCCCTGCTTCCCCCCCTTCCACTGCCCGGCTTCCGCCCCTTCCACTGCCCTGTTTCCCCCCCTTCCACTGCCCAGCTTCCCCCCCTTCCACTGGCCTGTTTCCCCCCCTTCCACTGCCCTGCTTCCCCCCCTTCCACTGCCCTGCTTCCCCCCCTTTCACTGCCCTGCTTCCACCCCTTCCACAGCCCTGTTTCCCCCACTTCCACTGCCCTGCTTCTCCCCCTTCCACTGCCCTGCTTCCCCCCCTTCCACTGCCCTGCCTCCCCCCCTTCCACTGCCCTGCTTCCCCCCCTTTCATTGCCCTGCTTCCCCCCCTTCCACTGCCCTGCTTCTCCCCCTTCCACTGCCCTGCTTCTCCCCCTTCCACTGCCCTGCTTCCCCCCTTCCACTGCCCGGCTTCCCCCCCTTCCACTGCCCTGTTTCCCCCCCTTCCACTGCCCGGCTTCCCCCCCTTCCACTGCCCTGTTTCCCCCCCTTCCACAGCCCTGCTTCCCCCCCTTCCACTGCCCTGCTTCCCCCCCTTCCACTGCCCTGCTTCCCCCCCTTCCACTGCCCTGCTTCCCCCCTTTTCATTGCCCGGCTTCCCCCCTTCCACTGCCCTGCTTCCCCCCCTTCCACTGCCCTGCTTCTCCCCCTTCCACTGCCCGGCTTCCCCCCCTTCCACTGCCCTGCTTCTCCCCCTTCCACTGCCCTGCTTCCCCCCCTTCCACTGCCCTGCTTCTCCCCCTCCACTGCCCTGCTTCCCCCCTTCCACTGCCCTGCTTCCCCCCCTTCCACTGCCCTGCTTCCCCCCTTCCACAGCCCTGTTTCCCCCACTTCCACTGCCCTGATTCTCCCCCTTCCACTGCCCTGCTTCCCCCCTTCCACTGCCCTGCCTCCCCCCCTTCCACTGCCCTGCTTCCCCCCCTTCCACTGCCCTGCTTCCCCCCTTTCCACTGCCCTGCTTCCCCCCCTTTCATTGCCCTGCTTCCCCCCCTTCCACTGCTCTGCTTCCCCCTCTTCCACTGCCCTGCTTCCCCCCCTTTCATTGCCCTGCTTCCCCCCCTTCCACTGCCCTGCTTCTCCCCCTTCCACTGCCCTGCTTCTCCCCCTTCCACTGCCCTGCTTCCCCCCCTTCCACTGCCCTGCTTCCCCCCTTCCACTGCCCTGCTTCCCCCCCTTCCACTGCCCTGCTTCCCCCCCTTCCACTGCCCTGTTTCCCCCCCTTCCACAGCCCTGCTTCCCCCCCTTCCACTGCCCTGCTTCCCCCCCTTCCATTGCCCGGCTTCCCCACCTTCGACTGCCCTGTTTCCCCGTGACCATGGGAGAGGGGACCATGAGAGAGGGGACCATGGGAGAGAGGCGGACAGGGCAAGCGCGTGGAAGGGCAGGGTACTATGTGGTGTGACGCGTCGGGCTAGCGAGGGATTGGCGCTGCGTTAGGGCGGGATTGGCGCTGCGCTAGGGCGGGATTGGCGCTGCGCTAGGGCGGGATTGGCGCTGCGCTAGGGCGGGATTGGCGCTGCGCTAGGGCGGGATTGGCGCTGCCCTAGGGCGGGATTGGCGCTGCGCTAGGGCGGGATTGGCGCTGCGCTAGGGCGGGATTGGCGCTGCGCTAGGGCGGGATTGGCGCTGCGCTAGGGCGGGATTGGCGCTGCCCTAGGGCGGGATTGGCGCTGCGTTAGGGCGGGATTGGCGCTGCGTTAGGGCGGGATTGGCGCTGCGTTAGTGCGGGATTGGCGCTGGCGAGGATATCGCTGTTCAGGTCTTCGCGTAGCGCGCCCTGGAGTGCTTGTGTTGCGTGCTGGTGAGGGACTAGCATGCTGCGCGGGGGCGCGATTTGGTACGAAATAGTTGTTAGTGTTACTGGAACTCGGTTTCGCTACCAGAAACGCACATTTTTCCACTGAGATGGGAGGTAAGCACTGTGTTCGCGAGCGAGAATGGCGGGGAAGGAGCCATTGCCACTGAGTACAGAGTAAAAAGCAAAAGCTTTGGATCCTGGTGTGGCGGGTGGAAAGGCTTTGCTTGTTCCGTCGCTGGGTTGGGGCGGGTGTCGCATAGCACGTCACCTCCCCCCAATCTCAAAATCGCACCCCTCGGGTGTGTATTTGGTTACCGTGTTTCTGTCATGCCCGTTTTCGTGTATAGTACAACTCAAAACCTTTGAGTCTTGAGTTTGGTCTGTCCGCTCGCTTTAAGGTTGGAAAAAAATACCCCCCTAGGGATATTCAAAAAGGCCCACAAACCAAAAGGGCCCAAATTTTAACTGGAGGTAGGTCTTACATAGGGCTACCTCCAGGTCACATCAAACCTCGCTGGAAATGATGCATAATAGTGAAAATGGCACTATGTTTTATCAAGGTTTAAGGTTGGAAAAAAAATACCCCCTAGGGATATTCAAAAAGGCCCACAACCCAATTTCTTCAACCAAAAGGGCCCAAATTTAAACTGGAGGTAGGTCTTGCATAGGGCTACCTCCAGGTCACTTCAAACATCGCTAGAAATGAAGCACAATCATGAAAATGACACTATGTTTTATCAAGAGGTAAGGTTGGAAAAAAATACCCCCCTAGGGATATTCAAAAAGGCCCACAGCCCAATTTCTTCAACCAAAAGGGCCCAAATTTGAACTGGAGGTGGGCTACCTCCAGGTCATTTCAAACCTTGCTAGAAATGACGCACAATAATGAAAATGGCACAATGTTTTATCAAGAGGTAAGGTTGGAGAAAGATACCCCCCTAAGGATATTCAAAAAGACCCACAGCCCAATTTTGTGAACCAAAAGGGCCCAAATTTGAACTGGAGGTAGGTCTTGCATAGGGCTACCTCCAGGTCACTTCAAACCCCGCTGGAAATGATGCACAATAGTGAAAATGGCACTATGTTTTATCAAGAGGTTGGGTTCCCCAAAGTTCCAACTTGTAGCAATAAAATAGACACTTTCCTAACCCTGGAAAACCAATAGCACACTGCTGGAAGCCTTTTTGTTGTGTGAACAACCAAATTCCAGCAAAAACTGTGGCTTCTTCTGGTGACCCAACACTCCAGGACATGAAATTAGAGTGTTGGGCATGTGTTGTCTTGTTAGTGCCACCTCAACTTCAACATGTTGAATTTCACAAAGCAGCACCGACCGATAGAGGTTGAGAGGTGTTTAAAGGTTAGTGCGGTCATATATATGGAGATATATCACTCGCACAGTGAGCCAGGTCCGTTCAGGTCCGGTTTGTGTTCTATGGTGTTACTGCCCAAGTCCTGCCAAATCCGAGAACCACGCAAACAGGTTGGGGCGGTTCAGTTGGCGAAAGCCACGGAAGCGCTGCGCGTCGAGGTTTGGGTTCACGAAATGGTTCGGGACCGTAGAAGTTGGCCGAGCCTGGACTTCCGAGAGTCCAGTAAGGATAAGGGAATTTCCTTACAATACGTATGCTGTAACGTGCCATGCCGACAAAGCAACCTGCCTTTCGCCACATGCGTAGCCTTTGGGCCGAGAGCAGCAGCATCAGCACAGGTGCTACAGTATTTCCAACAGAGCTAATTGGAAAACATATCCCTGAATCCATGGAAGATTCACGTCAGCAAGGAGTGGGTGACGGACCCAAAGCGACCACCGAACTCGGGCTGCTTGCCTCCATGACCTACGCTCCGTCGTTCATTGCTCTTCTGCCGTAACTAATCCGACGCGGCGAAAGTATCTTAAGACTCTCTGTTACTTCGAGCATACTCTGGGAAAACATGCTTCCCCGCCCCCCCTTGCTAGGACAAGCGTCGTGCTCACACTACTGGTCAGGGCGTGTTCCGCGCGTAAGTTTGATTGCGGGCTCTGCGACTCAGAAAGTTCTCATAACGATCTGAAAGGGTTGGGTAGGGTTTTGTGTGACACCCAACGCAGCGTTATCACTCGATTCCTCCCGCAACCCAGCTACTCGCCTCTGCCATAGCGTCGGGCAGTGGACTCCAGCCATGCAGACACGCCGGGTAAGTTCGCCTGGCATCTCGGCATCCGCGGTGCACGTGGCTCGACTCCGCTGGACTTGCGACTGCGCGACTTAGCGAGGTAGTACGGGGTGGCGCGACATCCCCAGTGAGGGTGATGGCATCGCATTCGTTTCTTTGTGCCCAACTGCCTCTCGCGTGCCGCCCCCGTGCCACTGTCATACAAACTCGTCTGCATGGGCCTGGTCTTTGAACCTGGCATTGGACCATGCAAACATCGCCGATCCCTTGTGCCTGACCGTGGTAGATGGCAAGGACGTCGACCAATGACCGAGCCACGCTCCTCCACACCGTGCTACACTCCTCCTAGGTTCCTTACCAATGTCGCTCCGCAACGTAGGGTGCTCTCCCATTCTTAGGGCCCTTCCTCACCCTGGTATCAAAGGGCCCCTCTGCTCAAAGAGCTAGTACCTCTGTCATCCTCTCATCCCACCTTCTCGAAGCCTTGCTTCCAAAATATTGGTGGCTCTCTTTCTATCTCTTTGTTCGGGCCTTTGTCCTGCAATTATTAGCTGGATTTTTTCCCTTGCACCCTCAACCCCCCCCCCCCCCCCCCCCCTCTCTCCCCTCCACCTGCTGTTGCTCGTACCTTCTCCTCGTCCAGGCTGCTTGCTGGTGCCTCCTGCAGCCTCGTATTTCCTCATCTCATCAGGCCTTGGCGTTCTGTCCTCAGCGCCGAAGCAACCCGCCAGCCCCATTCTCCCACGCCTTCCAGTTCTTCTATCCGCGTTCTCCTTCACGTGCTTCAGTGCATAGACTTCAAAAAGAGCATGCTTGAGAGAACTCCCATGTATTCAGTCGCCCCTCTCTTACCTACCCTTGTTATCACCATGCAGCAGGAGTCGCACAGAGGGTTAGAGCGGCGTCTGCCGCTGCTTGGCAGCCTTGCATACCTTCTTGTGCTCAGAGGTGTTGTGTCGGTGCGATTACATTTAGACGATGGTAAGCCAACAGAAGCCCAACAGAAGGGTCCACTGCAGCATTGCAAGCTTGATGAGAGTAGCGGCTCCCACTGCCACTCCAAGCCATCTCCTTGCCCACCTTCTTTCATGAGCACCCCTTTGCCTTGCTGGATCCCTTCCTTACCCATCGATGCCTCCATCCCAGTTGGTAGTATCCAGGAGCTGGCAAGAAGGTGGAACAACTTTGAGGGCAGCGAGATATGGGGGCTGCGCTACGTGGACTGCATGGCGATGGAGGGAATATTATGCGACAAAGATGGCTTCGTCACTGACATGTGAGCACACCCTCATGCGATTACTGCTGCCAGAGTGTCTCGCAGGACTGTGCACCAGCTGGTTTTTGAGTCGACTCAAAAATCACTTACTGCTGCCAGAGGGTCTCGCAGGACTGTGCACCAGCTGGTTTTTGAGTCGACTCAAAAATCACTTACTGCTGCCAGAGGGTCTCGCAGGACTGTGCACCAGCTGGTTTTTGAGTCGACTCAAAAATCACTTACTGCTGCCAGAGGGTCTCGCAGGACTGTGCACCAGCTGGTTTTTGAGTCGACTCAAAAATCACTTACTGCTGCCAGAGTGTCTCGCAGGACTGTGCACCAGCCAACAGCTGGTGGCAACGTGTTTCAAAGCCAACAGCCAGTGCATGCCCTCGTTGCTTGATGCTTTTGTCTGATTTCTCGTGCAGCCATGGTAGCCCGCCATTGCAAGGGCAAGCTCACTTGCATGTGCGAGCACAGAGACTATGTGCCCGCCTTTGCTGTGCAGCATAGCATTGTAGGCATTGGAAGTTTAATAAGAAAAGACCACCAAGCAGGGCAGACGAGGAAAATGAGTCTGTCACTCAGTGAAGGTTATGAGACGAAAAAAGGGACCAGGTCACCAGATGTGTTGACAGTGAGTGAAATTTGGCGCCTAGGATAACGATTGGGTGCTCAAGTTGTCCAACCCAACGTAGTCACCAAGGCACCTATAGGTGCTCAAGTAGCGCCCCAACACTGCACAATTGATTCAACCTACGAGGCTTGAGTTGCAATTTGACTCAATTTTAAGCCCTCCGTTGACTTGACCTGAACAGCAGGTCCAGAAAACAATAAGTTTTGTCACTCGCACTCACAAAAGTGCTCTCTTGTCGTGCTCGTGGCTACGTTGTTCATAACTTAACTGTTAAGATCTAGCGCAATGGACGCATAAGGGGCACGAGCACCTGCTGCGCCGTCCAGTCCCGGACAAGTGCTTCGCCCATCCACATTTATGTGCTTCCACGACAGGTTCCCTTCTTGCATGCATGTCTGATGTATCTAATGAGTGCGCGCAGAGTTCTGCAGCAGAAGGGCTTCTATGCACCGATACCCACGATGATTAGCAAGCTGCAGCACCTCAGACACCTGTGAGCTCATGCTATCTCTTTCAACGCCACCAGTAGAAAGTTGTTTGACTTGCTGGATGTCAAGGGGGATGCATCAAGAAGAACATGGACTCATCCTGCTCATCTGTGTGACTTGCTAAAATGCTTTTCTCTCTCTCACACCCCTCCCTCCTCACTCTCTTGCTCTTTTGCACACATGGACAAACACAACACTGTTTGCTCTCCTTTCCCTCACGTTCTCCTTCCCCATCATCCCTTTCATGCTCCCTCCACTTCATCCACTTCGCCCCTCCTCCCTGAATTCTCTTTTTTCCCTGCTTCTTCTCCTAGGTCACTTATGTTCTGCACTCTCACAGGCACCATTCCTGATTCTCTCTTCAATCTTACCTCGCTTTCAGTTCTGTAAGTGTGCGCCTCGCTAACGCTTTGTTAGCAGTGCATTCACCATAGTCTCGCTTTGCATTGCGATTTTGCATGCTGTTGTTTGTTGCCACGACCCCTCAAATGGACCAACCTCCATAACAACATCTGCTCTCTTGCCCCCTCCGTCCACCTGCACGACTTTTCACCTCTACTCCAGCGATGTAGTCGGAAACTTCATCACGGGGACTGTTCCTGTAGGCATCAGCCGCTTGGTCAACTTGAGAGTGCTGTGGGTAACGCCTGGCTTAGAGCTTGTTGTACAACAGGTCATGCTGCATGTGCATGCATGATTGAAACTAACCAGCACATGAACCCATGTCTGTGTTCCAAACTTATGCAGGATCGAAGCTTACACTGAACATGCCCACAACCCATGACACGTGTGCACATGCCTTATGTATAGACTGTAAACTCTTTGTGGCCCTACTTCTGAGAGTACCTAACCAAGCATGTCTGTGTGGCTTCGAAGGGTTTCGCAATGTTAAAAAATTTCCCCCTTTTTTTCCATCCTTGCCCCATTCCAGTGGTCTTGGCCTCAACCAGCTATCTGGTCCACTCGACCCACTCTCCAACCTGCCGCAGCTCATTTTTCTGTATGGCTCTGATCTGCAATGCCTCATATGCCCTGGAGTCGCACATGAGTGCCTTGAGAGTCTGAAAATGGTTTGGCCCGGAGTGTACTCTCCTTATTTCTTGCTGCTGGCTACTTCACTGTTCGCCCATCCTGTAAGTCCTCAGTGTTCACAGCAAGGGGTCAGTGACCCCTAATGCCTAGGTCAAGTTTATCAATCTTAAACAAGCACGCAGCAGAAGCATGGAAAGTTGGGTAATATTACCCGGGTACCCCTAGGTGGCAGTAAAATTCAGCAAACCCAGAGTAACAAACCCAAAGTCGGGTCGGGTACCCGCGACCCGACGGGTAATAAATTACCCGACATTTCGGGTACTTCTCGGGTAACGGGTATGCATTACCCAGTCCGAGTACCCGACCCGACCCGGCCGGGTAATTCGTCAAAATCCTATAACCCGACCCGGCCAAAATGTCGGGTCAAGTCGCGTACCCGCGACCCGACTGGGTAAAATGCTCAAGTCTTCGGCAACCATTCGAGCTAGATATGAGCAAATGGCAAGGCGAGTATTACTCGCCTCGCCCTGAGCCTTACTCGCCTTGTTTTTCAGGCGAAGCGAGTAATACTCGGTCGAGTAATTCGGCCCTAAACCCCCCCTCGTTACTCGCCTCTCATGTGCGAGTAATTTTTTACTCGAGGCGAGTAAAAAATACTTGCCACGCCTCGCCCTGAGGGCTTCCTAAGTTACAAAGTTGCCTAAGTCGCCCTGGTAATAATCGCTAGAATTCTTGCAAATGGTAACTTCGCAGAAATTTGCACAATTTTCGCCCATCGTGCAAAAGGTCCCCTCTGTTCGAAAGTGAAAGTCCAACCAGAATTAACCCCCCAACCGCTTCCAACCCTTCCAATCTCCCTCTCCTTCCCCATTTGTCTGCCAGATCTAGCGTGCTCAGTTTCGTACTGCCGTATACCTATCAGTCGCGCAATTCCCCTAGCACTCTCAAGGGCCTTAGAAGGCCCTAGGACGAAAGTACTAAGCTTGGCTGATCCAGAAAAAAAGGTTCCGCCAAGTCAATATTTTGACATTTGTACCACCCAGGCGGTTCGCGCTGGTACAAATGACGCGAGTAAAAACTACTTGAGGCAAGTAGATTTTAATCGCGAGTACACATTACTCGCCCTAAAAGGACGAGCAAAAAACAAGTAATTTTTACTCGGTGACGCGAGGCAAGCAATACTACTCGCCAAGTAAAATCGTTAAAAAAAACCCCCTCGTTACTCGCCAAATCCGAGGCGAATAGGCGAGGCCAGTTTTTACTTGCCTCGTTTCCTCCCGAGCCCATCATGCATCGCTCCCTTGATGATTGTTGACTCACTTATTCAGCACCCCCTTCCACCACCACCGTGATGCTCAACCCATCATTTCGCTTTCTTCTCCGACCACTATGAAAGCCCTCCTTTTCTCCCGATTTCTCCTCCCCTGTCACCCCACCACGGAAGGATGTCCATGGCATAAGCAAGTTGTGATGACGCACTGAAGGATGTTTAATGGTAGCCGTATGGAAGACGTATGCATGCACGTTGCTTGCTTTCGCCTTGTGCCCATCCCTCAGACATCTCGACCAGAACCTCTTCAACGGCTCTATTTCCTCAGAGCTTGGCAAACTCACCACCCTTCGTTTCTTGTGAGAACTCGTTGTCTGTACCTACTCCATTAATCACTGCTGCAATTCTTTGCCAGAGCTGTGGACCTCTCTCAGCAAGCAAATAGGTGTATCAGATTGCCGACCACTCTCCCGTTCATTCCAATGCATCCACGTACAATTTCGACCATCCAGCGTGCACTAATGTGTAAGCTTTCAGATTGAGAGATCTGTGAGCGTAGTCCTTTTCGTTCAAAGCCAAGACCGAACTAATGGAAACCAAAGTCCAAACAAGTAGAAGGACCCTGGGCACCACTGCAGTTAGGCCGATTTTTGCATAGAGTTTTGTCGTGTGAGTGCCGCACCGTGCTCTATGGTCATGTTTGGAGCTAGGCTTGAGTAGGCTTGAGCAAAGGGTCGGGTCGGGTGGGGTAATCCGACCCGAACCTGACTTATTGACGGGTCGGGTCGGTATTCCCAACGAGAAAACCCGACCCGACGGGTTAGGTTTTTTCTAGACGGATCGGGTTGACCCGTACCCGACATGTCGGGTTTCGGGTCAACCCGACCCGAAGTCGGGTCGCGCGTAGACCCGTCGGGATCTGCGCGACCATAATCGCGCAGATATGAAATTTCGACCATTTGGTCGAAATTTCAACCCTAAACTTCCTTGCTAAGCTTCGCTCTAGCCTAAGTCAACATCCTACCTAGTTCCTTGCAAAAACAGACGGCTACTTCAGATAGAACTAGTGTTTCCTCCCTTCCTTAGGGTAAGAGATTGCCCAAGGGGTTTAGGCTGATCTAGATCTTCTTTTGGATGGAATCGACTCAGCACACACCCTACTCAGCTCTGAAATTCGCGAACACCTCCAACCCAAGCGAATTTTCGCCAGCACCCTCATCCCACACGAATTTTCGCCAACACCCCCCCAACCCACTCGAATTTCGCCAACGCCTCTAAACCACTCGAATTTTCGTCAACACCCCAAACCAACTAAAATCTTGTAAGCACCCCCCACCCAACCAACGATTTTCGCCAACACCCCCAAACACGAGGAATACGTAGCGGATATTGAAATTAGGAGGAAAGAAGCTTGTAGTCGCTGCATAAGTCATTATAACTTAGGCTGCTCTGGATGCCCTTTAAAAAAGGACGGATCGCCGTACCCGTGGTCGGGTCGGGTCGACCCGACCCGACCGCGGGTCAGGTATGACCCGACCTGTTTTTGTCGGGTCGGGTTGGAAGAATCCTAGGGTCGACCCGACCTTGACCCGACCCAACCCGACCCGAACCCGACCACCGGTCAGCCAAGTCGGGTCGGGTCGGGTCGGGTCGGGAAGGTAGATGCTCAAGCCTAGGCTTGAACATAATACCCGTGCTGGTCAGGTACCCGGACCCGAACCCGACTTTAGGGCGGGTCAGGTAACAGAATTCAGGAGAATTACCTGCTGGGTCGGGTCCGGTCCGGGTACCCGGCCGGGTATTCAATACCCGCTACCCGATTTGTTACCCGATCAGACGGGTACCGGGTACCCGACCCGAAGTCGGGAAATTAGGTCTAGATATGGGCATAAGTCGCGCGCTGTTTTGGGTTTTGTCGCAAAACGGGAAGGGGGGTGAGGGGGGGAGTGTAGAGCATTTGTGAGGAGAAGTTGGAGTTTGTGGATGGGGAGGTGTTATGTGCGGTGAGAGGGAGGGAGCTGGTTGGAACTTGGATAAAGGTTGGAGAAAAGGTTGGAGTTTGTAGATAGGGAGGATTTAAGTGCAGTGAAAGGGAGGGAGTTGGTTGGAACTCGGATAAAGGTTGGGGTTTCTAGATGGGGAGGATTTCAGTGCAGCAAAAGGGAGAGAATCCGTTGGAATGGAACTTGGAAGTCCCCCCTGAAAACGCAACTCTTATTTGAGAGTCACGTTTCCAGAAATCCTAGCCTAGCCCGCTTTTAAGTGGCCCACTAGTAGGTGGCGGGTAGTAATGCCTGCTTTTCAGGGAAATCGCTGGGCGGGTAATGCATTACACGCCCCCAAACGCCGGGTCGGGGTAGTGGTCCTGGGCTAATTACCCGACCCATACCCGACCCGGAAATACCCAACCCGAAGTTGGGTAATGCAAAATCGGATCGGGTTGGGTAATTACCCGGTTTTGCTCAACCCTTTTTGGAGCACATGCACAATGGAGATTGTATGCGACACATTGCGAGACTAATGACAACCACGCAGTGGAACGCACATGCTCACTTCGCGTCATGTCACATATTTTAGAACTACAAAGTTTAATCTCTGGCGCTTGCCAATGCACTTTTTTGACAGTGTATTTCTGATGCCCTTACTCCCTTTCTCTGTCCCTCTTCCTGTGATCCATGCAGGAGCCTTAAAGAAAACGAGTTTTCTGCCAGCATCCCCTCTTCCTTGGGCAACTTGGCATCGTTGAATGAATTGTACGCCATGCTTTTCAATCTAGGTCTACCTGGTATCGTGGTCTGTTGCGAGGGCAGCGTGTCGTCAATTCTCAATTATGTGTGATACCCAATGCACCACTTGGCAACCCTGCATTTCTTCACTCCTGTTGTTATTATGCCATTGTGTAACCATAGGATCTATCCTACAACCACAGGTCAACCCATGTCGTTGTTACTCGATGCTGTGCTGTGATCGCAGGACTCTAAGTGTCAACCAGCTCAGTGGCACCATACCCGACTCCCTCAGTGGCCTGCACAGCCTCACCAACCTGTGAGATCCTAAAGCTGTGCGCCTTGCCCTGGCGACCCTCACGCACTGCTCTTGCCCATGCTTTTAAGGGTTGCTTAGTTGGTGAACGTGTTTCTCTTTGGCTCTCTGGAATCAAGACGTTTGGTTCACGGAGACGATGCACATGCAACCACAGAGCATCTGTCCCAAGATGCACTCAAGGCAACGCATGCTACATCTGATCATGTGCGGCCACCATCACTGCCACCTCCACTCGCACTTCATCACGCCTTTTCCGCCACTTCATTATCCCTGCTGTCCCCAAACTCTTGTAATGTGCTCTTGCGCACAGCAACCTGCACACGAATCAGCTGACAGGAGCCATCCCTGAGTCGCTTGGAGCTCTCTCGGCTCTCAAGTTTCTGTGAGTCCTCTCACCAAATTCAACTCTCACCTGCGCGCATACAAGCTTCTGTTGAGGGTCCATCACCCTCGATCACACATTACCATACTTCACCGTCCGTAATATGTGGTGCATGTCGCTTGGTGCGTGATCTGCATGTTGCCCATCGCAGGGAGCTGCAGTACAATCGATTGAATGGCTCGATTCCAGCAACTCTGTCATCGCTGCAGCAGCTTGAATGGCTGTAAGCTTTGCTGATGCCGTGTTGCCGCCAATTCTGCATCCTTCGCATTCGTGTTGCACACCATGCCCATTCTTGTTGCACACCATGCCCATTCGTGTTGCACACCATGCCCATTCGTGTTGCACACTATGCTCATTTCAGAATGATTTCTGGCAACCTTCTCTCGGGTAGCATACCTGCCGCGCTGGGCGATATTCCTCTTTTGAAGTACATGTGAGCAGTCTTCAACCAACTGTTAGGAGTGTGGAACCTTCTGATGCCACCTCAGGCGGAACATTACTGCCTCTGGAAACAAGCCAGGGAGTCTTAGCTTCAACGTTGTAACATGAAGAAAGCGAACTACTGGCAAGGTGTGTGTGTCCATTCAGCCACCTTACCATGAACATCCTTTCTCCATGCTCATCCTCTTTCCATATCCATCCTTTCATCTGCTTGGGCCGTCACGGTGGCAGGTGGCTGGCATTAAATCAGTTGTCAGGGTCCATTCCTACGGCCATTGGGAAGCTCGCCAACCTGGTTAACTTGTGTGTACGAAGAGCACCCATGCCTGTTGGCATGAACCATATGAGCGTGCGTAATCCGCACCTTGAGACATGAAGCAGTGGCAAAACGATGTTATACCCAACACATGTTGACTCTGTGGCGCATGTGCATGCTGTGCTCGCAATCAACAGAGACATGTGGAACAATCAGCTGTGCGGAACCATCCCCACCACCCTCCACAACCTCTCCAAGGTCCAATATCTGTATGTATTCCTGCCACCACTCCTGAACTGTAATGCACTGCCGTGCGTAAAGCACACTCACACAAAAGCTTGGTTTCCATCCCATTTTCTTGATAGTGTCGTTCAGGCCTTTTTTATGCCAGCACATGCCTTCCCCTACGTAGCAACTTGTTTTTTTACATGTAGAGCGAAGGCTCTATGTCTGTAGTCACCATCACATTCCTCACATGGTTGGTAGGCTAAGTGGGCAAATTCGTTGGGGTCCCCCAGCGTTTTGCGTAAATTCGTAAGCGTAAATTCGCAAACGCGAATTTACCTGAAATTCGCGAAACGCTGGGGGAAATTTTTCGGGGCAGCCCGGACAAAAAAACACGAATTTCCCAACTTGATTCGCAGCGACTTGGCGAAGCCATCCGTGGCCTCGCCAATTCGCGATTCTAACTTTTGAACCTCCAAACATGCTCCCAACCCCTCCCACGCTCCCAACCGCATCAAACCCCACCGCATCTAGAGAACCCAACCCATCCACCACCCAACTTACGCAACCATATCACGCACGCATCTCACACGCTACTCTACCAGACGTAGAGTAGATCTAGCTTATCACTCCGCGTCATAGCTAGAAGATCTAGTTTTAAGCATAGACATTAGCTTACCTCATGAGTATGGTTCATCATCTTGCTGTAGGTTGCTGCAGGGCTGTTAATGCAAAGGATACCCCCCAAACTCTAGAACATGCTATTGCCATAAACTTTCAGAAGCAATAATAATTTCCTGCTAAAACTTTCTTGCCTAAAAAGAGTTGCTCTGAAACCCCCCACGACCCCCTACCTGGGGACTTTTTTTGGGCCTGCCCGAGCATTTTTTTCCTGCCCGGGCGGAACGAATTTCCCAACGAATTCAAAACAGGGCCCTGGCGTTCGGGCGAATTTACTCCAGCGTAAATTCGTTAGCGAATTTACGCGAAACGCGAATTTTCCCACTTAGTTGGTAGGTACCATGTGGTGAGGTCCATCACGCATCACTGCGCTGTGCACATGCACGTGTGGCTGCCTTTGCTTGCCGCTATCAGAGCACTGTCATACAACCAGCTCTCAGGCCCTGTGGAGCCCATCATACGAGGCATGAGGAGCGTCACTGACCTGTGGGTATCAGCTACACAGCAGCACATGAGCATCGCACCACCTCACTCGCAAATTGTACACTGTTGACCACAAAATTCACAATAAACATGTTCTATTTCATGCAACAGATATTTGCAGAAGAACCAGTTTTCAGGCCGTCTGCCCATTCCGGCGCCAGCAGGCATGAAGAACTATGTAGTGGCCAATAACTTCTTCTCACACGGGCAGGTCAAGTTCAGCAATTGCTCTGCTGTCAAGTGGAACACCTACTCGAACTGCCTTTCCAAATACCTGGGCATTTGCCGCCTTGCTTACGCCCAAAAGTCTGCCGCAGAGTGCGCTGCATTTTGTGGGCTGGAGGTTGGTGCCACTGGCCCAGTGTGTGGGGGGCATGGCTACTGCTTGGTGAATCCATCCACAGGAGCAAGCGAGTGCGTGTGCGATCCCAACTACATGCTCAGCAGCAGCAACAGCAACGCCTGTGTTCCTGGAGGTGAGCAATGATGAATCTGGTTTAGGAGCCTACTAGGGATGATGGTTGGTGGGTGAGGAAAAGTTGTCTACAACGTAACGAGATATAGGACATGAATGAGATTGGGTGGAAACCCAACCGGAATCAGGGAGTGTTTAGTGTAGAATAGGATGTACCCTAAGAGGTGAACGTGAACTGAAGCCTGAACTGTGACTTGTTTATATATGGAAGACAACCAATGTAAGGCCATAATAATTGTCAGAACGAATTCTATCCTACTCCAACAAGCTACTCCTCTACAGTGCTGCACGTGCACACCATTGTCGTCGCAATTCTTTGGGACCTTAGTATAATCGTTTTCAGCACGCTGACACGAAGATCGCTTTCCCCATGCCTCTGCTCCCCTCCACTCCAGCTGCCGAGACCTTCCTGGTGTCTGCCTCAGCCTATGTTTCGCTTCGGGGCTCTGCCTCTGTACTTTCCAACGGCTCCATTTTGCTCACAAATGGCGCTGCCAACCAGCAGGGTGCAGCGTTTGGCTCACCTGCCATGCGCCTCTTCTACTTCCCCGACAAGCGGTCACGCTGCGGAACGGAGCTGGGCTTCCTTGCTGCCTTCAGCTTTGCCATGAGTCCCGGGGGCCAGGGGGAGGGAGGGGAGGGGCTTGCGTTTGTGGTGGCAGCAGGTGCTTCTGAAAAGGGGGCGAGTGTGGGGCTGGGAGGGGTGGGGCGGCGGAGTATGGGAGTGGAGTTTGACTCGGTGCTGAGTGTGAAGCACAGCGACCCCAACGACAACCACGTGGGCGTCAATGTGGGCGGCTCACCTGTGTCCCTCGCCTCTGCCACGGCCCCTCTCATCCTCAACGACGCCCAAACCAAGCACGCCTGGATCCACTACGACCCCACCAGCGGCGGCACTCTCCAAGTCTTCCTCTCCTCCGACCCCGTGCAGCCCCTCACCCCCACCCTCACAGCCAGCGTGTCTCTCTGCTCCGTTCTCAAACCCACTGCATCCGACTCTCTCTTCCTCTTCGGCTTTCTTGCCCTCTCTAGCACTGCGCCTCAGAGACTTGGCATACTGTCATGGAACTTCACAGGTATTCCACTTTGCAACTTACCAGGCAAAAATATTTTTGACTGTCGCATATTCGACTATGTGTCTACTGTCATTTGGCCTTTCACAGTCTCCTTTCTGACTAACGTTATGAGTGTACCCCCCAGCCCCTCAGATTTCAGGAATTTTTTTCCAGATTTTGCTGATTTTCAGGGTGTTTTTCTGTACTGACCCTGAAAAATCAGCGTTGGAATCTGAAAAAGCGGAGCTAACTTGTTAAAAAAACAGTACCAACCCTG